AAAAGAACCATTAGAAGGATGGCAGCTGGGTACGTTCTTGATGGGGAGGTCTTATACAAGAAAAGCCATACTCAAGTTCTGTTAAGATGCGTCGATTCTGAAGAGGCGAAAATGATAATGGAAGAAGTACATGACGGAGTTTGTGGAGCACATGCAAATGGACAGATGATGTCGAGACAAGTAATGAGATGCGGATATTTCTGGTCCACACTGGAAGGTGATTGCATCAACTATGCTAGAAAATGTCATAAATGTCAGATTTATGGAGATAAAATAAATGTTCCACCTCATCCGCTTCAAGTCATGACATCACCATGGCCTTTCTCCATGTGGGGCATGGATGTTATTGGGCAAATCCATCCGAAGGCTTCGAAGGGTCATCGTTTCATCCTTGTAGCCATCGATTATTTCACCAAGTGGGTAGAAGCTTCTTCCTATGTCAGTGTCACTCAATCTGTTATCTGTAAGTTTTTGAAGAAAGAGATCATATGTCGGTATGGTTTACCTGAAAGAATCATTACCGATAATGCTACAAACTTGAACAACAACATGATGAAGGCTGCTTGTGAGCAATTCAACATAAAGCATCACAATTCTACTACCTACAGACCAAAGATGAATGGTGCAGTAGAAGCAGCAAACAAGAACATTAAAAAGATAGTGGAGAAAACGACTGAGACCTACAAAGACTGGCACGAGAAGCTGCCCTTCGCTTTGTTTGCTTACCGAACCTCGGTACGAACCTCGACTGGGGCAACTCCGTTTTCGCTGGCATATGGAATGGAAGCAATGCTACCCATTGAAGTAGAAATCCCATCATTACGGGTCTTGACAGAAGTCAAACTGGATGACGCGGAATGGGCTCAATCCAGATATGATCAGCTAAATTTGATAGATGAGAAGAGACTGAAGGCCATTCTCCATGGCCAAATCTATCAGAAACGAATGATTCGAGCCCATGATAAGAAGGTACGCCTGAGAATATTCCGAGAAGGAGATCTGGTGCTAAAGAGAATTTTGCCAATTCAGAAAGATTTCCGAGGAAAATGGACGCCAAATTGGGAAGGACCCTATGTTGTGAAAAAGGCCTTTTCTAGAGGAGCCCTTATCCTGGCCGAAATGGACGGACCTGACCTACCACATCCCATCAATTCGGATGCAGTCAAGAAATACTGCGCTTAGGATGAAAACCCGAAAGGGCGTCCTAAGTCGAAAGAAAAAAACAAAAAAACAAAAAAACATTTAGGGTGAAAACCCGAAAGGGCGCCCTAGATAGAAAAAAGAGAAAAAAGAACAAAAGAAAAAGAAAATAACAAAAAGGTGGGTTCAAGATGAAAACCCGTAAAGGGCATCTTGCAACCAAGGATGGGTCCAAGTTGAAAACCCGAAAGGGCGATTTGGATAATTCAAGAAATCCAGACAGTTGAAACTCCCCGGCATCTGAATGTTTCATAGGAAATGTTGCACTCTCCTGAATGTTGTCGCATTTTCAAAAATCACTTGGAAAAGGCTGTATTCAAGGACACCTAATGGCTTTTCAGCTCAGAAGTGCCCACATTATTGAAATCTAAGACATTCATTTACACCTCATCGTGTCTTCATCCTTCAAAATGTTTGTCATGTATTAGTTGTTTTTTCCCCCTCATGAATAAAAAACCATCATTTTCTTTACGCCAATTCCTTTTGAGCCTCTTGGATTGAGCTTAAACTTAATGATTTATTTACTTATGCAAAAGATATTCGCATATTACTGTACAAAGGTTCATTGAAAAGTACAGGTACTCGGAAGCTGATCAAGGCTCATGCATTTAATTGAGGTGGTCGAGAAGCATTTCCCAGATCAAGGATAAAAAACGAACATCAGATTGGAACATTTGAAGAATTGAAGATCAGGAATCGAAACTTCATGATTCCATAATCAAGATTTCCATACATGCCTTAGCTAGAGTCAAAATCAACTTCGCAGCGAAGGATATTGAACTCAAAGCAACACAACTTGATCGAGAGTAGATTTCAACTTCACGACGAAGGATATCTAGCTCGAAGCCAAACATCCACGATTTCAACTTCACAGCGAAGGATATCAGACTCCAGACAACGCAAGTTCAACTTCACGACGAAGGGACCGCTGGTTGTCAATAAACAACTTCCCAATTTCAGAGCCAATTTCAACTTCACAGCGAAGGATATTGGACTCCAGACAACGCAAGTTCAACTTCACGACGAAGGGACCGCTGGTTGTCAACAAACAACTTCTCAATTTCAGAGCCAATTTCAACTTCACAGCGAATGATATTGGACTCCAGACAACGCAAGTTCAACTTCACGACGAAGGGACCGCTGGTTGTCAACAAACAACTTCTCAATTTCAGAGCCAATTTCAACTTCACAGCGAAGGATATTGGACTCCAGACAACGCAAGTTCAACTTCACGACGAAGGGACCGCTGGTTGTCAACAAACAACTTCTCAATTTCAGAGCCAATTTCAACTTCACAACGAAGGATATTGGACTCCAGACAACGCAAGTTCAACTTCATGACGAAGGGACCGCTGGTTGTCAATAAACAATTTCCTAATTTCGGATCCAATTTCAACTTCACAGCGAAGGATATTAGACTTGAGACAGCACAAGCTCAACTTCACAGCGAAGGGGCGGCTGACTGTCAACAAACAATTTCCCAGTTCCAGAACCAATTTCAACTTCACAGCGGAGGATATTGGACTCGGAACAATACATGGATTTTAACTTCATGACGAAGGATACCCAATTCTCAGGCTCAACTTCACGACGAAGGGTCCTATACGATTCCAGATTCACAAACAGGTTGACCCAACTTCGCGACGAGGGAGTCATCTGCAACACATCAACACCAAAGTCTTCAAGTCGAGTTTCAGCTTCACGACAAAGTATCTTTAGCTAGAAGACGATCCATGAGCTACTTCCCAATACTCTGAGTTCGATTTCAACTTCACGACGAAGGATTTCGTGCTCAGAATTTTCCAGTTTTGACTCAACCTCATGACTAGGGAGTCATTTCGTGATTTAAAAACCAGTTTCAACATCGAATTTCAACTCTACGACAGAGGATATTCGATATGGACGAAATTTATGTCTTTTAATCTTTGCTCTATTTTCGTTACACGATAATGAGCAAAGAGGGGCAGCTGAATACACTAAATTTCGTCCTTATATTATATAATATATATATTTATATTATAAATTATATTATATATTTATTTACATTTTTTTCTTTTCAGGGCCCAACAGTGGACCAAACCCAAGTCCCACGTGACCCAACAACAGCCCAAGTCAAGAAACCCTATGGCAAATTAGGGTTTCAGCCGCCTCTCTCCACCAGCGCAGCAGTCCTCCTCTCGCACGCCTCCATCACGTCCCCAACAGTCCGAGTCCTCCGGCGCAAGAATCACAGCCATCATCAACAACCCACATTAGTATTTTACTCGAATTAGAACACTAAATAGGCTGGTATTTTCACTATAAATAAAGATGTAAATAGAACACTCAAGGGAAAAAAATAGAAGAGATACGAGTGGTACACAAAATACGCAGAAGGAATATTGCAAAATACTAAGGGTTACACAATTTCAGAGCACTTTGCTGTAAACATTCCGAGAGAAATAAAAAGGTAGTGTTTTGTTTTTACCTTGTTCGTTCGTTTGCTTCCCTTGCATGTTGATTTTGCGTGATATTTGGCTCGAACTAAACCAAAACCGAACGGTCGAGGATCCGGGGAAGGGGGTTTCTTCCTTCGAAATCCCTCCCTGAGGCTATGTATCTTGAGAAATAAAATGATTTTTAGAGGGGAGAAGGGGCTATCGAATTTTTTTAAAAAAAAAAACTTGAACGTGAAGAACCCAGTGCTTGTTCAAATAACCAGAGAATTCTCAAAACAGGGAGGGGTTTTTTTTAAGGTTAAAATAAAAAGATGATTCTTTTTTTACGGCCACACGTTGGGCATTATATGACTCATAAAGCATGTGTGTGTCTAAGCCAAAATGGGATAATCCCCATGTAATCCCCCGTAGCTTTTTAAAATCTTTAATTTGGCCATTTGATTTGGTTTGCTTTTCAATTTAACCCTTTTTAAAATTCAGTTTATGTTTTAATTTTTATTTTACTTTTTATTTAATATATTACGTTTTATTATCTATTTTATTATTATGGTATGTGTATATATATATATATGTATTTTTTTTATTATTTCTTTTACGTATATATTTAATTAAACATTTCTATTCGTCTTCTATATTTTTGTTTACTACTATTATATTATGCTATTTTTTTTACCGTATTGTTATTCAGTTTTGTCTTCATTACTTATATATATTTTATTATTACTATTATAGATTATATATTATATTTTATTTTATATTTATATTTTTAGGTTATTTTTATTTATTTATTGGTTTTCTCATTTTGCATTTTTCGGTTTCTTTTTATTAATATATATATATATATATATATATATATATATACTTAATATTTTATGTACATGCATACTAATTTCATCTATTTACTTACCTTTTTGTTCTTCCCCTTTATTCCGTTTATTTATCTTGCACTTTTATTATCATTTTATGTATTTCTATTTACTTTTTTTCCTTTCTTAATTGTATTTATTTCATCGCCTTTTTCCTCTAATGCTTTTCGTGACATATTGACATATTAAGGGTACATCTTTAATTCATCAGAGGTAAATAATTCGGATCGTTATTTTACATTTTACTTTAACTTACAATTTTCTTAATTAAAGACAACTGGAAACTACGTAGTACCGAAAGGGCAGTTCAAGGGTGCTAACCCTTCCTTGATTATAACCGACTCCCGAATTCGATACATCTTTGGTAAGACGCAGATCAGGTAAGAAATAGGGTATCCGATCAACCCATTTATTTTTAAATAAATGATCGGTGGCGACTCCAATCCACATTTTTCTAAGTCGAAGCCCAATTCTGGGGCCCAACCGAAAGACGGTTGCGACAAGTTCTTGATGGTGATGACATCAGCATCCATGTCGATAATGGAGTGGATGATATCGATGAAGTTGGAGTAGCACATGTGGGTGTGGATCTGTCGGATTTTATGAGAATTCAGTAGTCACAGGGAGAACATGAATACAAATGTTTCGAGATAAAGAGTGAATTTATAGATAAACCTAGGTGGTATCCTTGACACCACAGTTGGTGATCCTAAAGGAGTGGACAACCCATTTCAAGTAGAAGCTGTGCTCGGACTTCCTAGCGGCAGCTCTTCTCTCAAAGCAGCCTCGTCGATTTGGATAACATTGATACTGGCCTTCTCGAGATCCTCAACTTCGTCCTTGATGGCCAAGGCAATCTGGTAGCAAGTTTCGAATCTGAAAGATTGACAACAACAAAAAGATATTTGTATTGCAAAGTTAAACCTGGAAGAAACACAATACTTATCGTAATTTTCGCCAATTTGGATTTCTCGTGCCGTGCATACCTGGGGTCCTGGGTTGATCATTTCTTACAAATGAACAATTGAGAATGGTAACAGGACCGGTAAGCATTCACTTCATCATGCTTGGAGTCGCAGATGACCAGAAAAAAGTCATTGGCTTGGGGCGGCTAACATCGCCATAGATGATCGGTGGCTTGACACAACGGGATCCATAAGATTGCACCCACCCATTAAAAGGGAAAGCAAAACCAGACAACTGCTCGCCAAAGTACTCAACCATGTCGTTTCTCTACACGATGGCAATAGTTAGGCAACTTTCCAATAACTAACCCAAAAATGTATTTCCCGTTTACTGCAAAAGGGTAACACAAAAAAGAAATACTTACCTCAGGCTCTCCATGAATTAGGACATCAGTATCGATTTGTTCTTGAAGGTCGACAACCTTCTTAATTTCCTCCTCCATGGCTTTAACGTAATCGTCCTCTCAGATCCTGAAGGAGGATAAAAGCACTAGTTATAAAAATGGTCACATTGACATTTTATAAGAATGGTAGCAGGTAAATTTTCCGGATTAGCTCACTTGTTAGCCTTGAATTCACGACGAACTTTCCTGAGCTCCACAGTTTGAGGGAAGGATCCAATGGTAGTGGTAGGTAGGATTGGTAGGCTAAGCTTTTTCTGCTGTGCATTGAGTCTAGCAGTAACATTTGTTGCACGACGGTGATCGGAGCCCTTCAAAGCAGCAGCCTGGAAATACAAGCACCGTAAAACACTATAAGCAAAGAAAGAGCTTCATGGCAAAATATATTACCACAGAGCAATCACTTGGGAAACACTTGCAGCCTTTAGAACAGCCTCATTGGTTACTCTAGGGGACGACTTCCTCAAAACCTGAGCAGTAGCATTGGAAGAGAAGAAGGCCTAAAAGTAGATGAATGGCTCGTGAGTGAATCGAGAAAACACCAAATAACTAAAACCAAAATATCAAGCCTAAGCCGTCAGAGAGATATTATCCAAGTTCTTAGAAAACTAGCAAATTAAGGAGATGTACCACATCCTTGTGACCAGCCAATGCCTTGGCAAGTGCATTAACTTCAACAACTTTCTGAGCAGCGAATGCAAGCCAGGATTTGATTTCATCATCAAGCTTAGTTTCATTTACTAAATCGCCAGCAGTGTGGAGAAGCGAGCAGGAGGTGGACACCACAAGGTTGTCTGCTCATTGGAAAATTAATTCATAGATATTAGTCTTAATTAATTCATAGATATTAGTCTTACATAAATACGGAAACTGTGCTCTTCACGCACAGGCCGTAAAAAGAAAAAGAAAGTCGAATACCTTTGCCAACAACAGCCTCAATAGCCTGCAAGGTGCTAAGAGAAGAAGCAAGATCATTGGCCCAAATGTTCCTTCCGTCAACAACTCCAGCAAAGAGGTGTCTGCCCTTAGGGAAATCCTTCTTGACCAATTCAATAGTCTGTGTTCCACGAACCAAATCCAAACCATAAGCAGTGATACCCTTCAATCCGGTGAGGATCTTGTATGCCTCAGGAGTAAGATCAGCAAAGTAAGTTTCGACCAGAACATTCAAGCCTGAAAGAGTCAATTCCAGATCAGCATAAGCAGCAGTAAATGCTTCCAATTGGTGAGACTCAAGATCCAAGACAAGAGTGGGTTCATCGAACTGAATCCAGGAAGCACCAGCTACTTTAAGCTCTGATATAACTTCCCTGAAGAGATATCCAATGTCATAATAGGCAAATTAAAGCACTTACATATGTAAAATTAACTAGAAGACAAAGAGAAAACCAACTCTTACTTGTAGACAGGGATGATTTTTGGGAGGAGAGATGGAAGAGAAAAGGTCTTCTCAACACCCTTTGCGGGTTTAGACAGCAACAAGTATGAGACAGGGCCAATAATGACAGGAACGGTGTTGACTCCAAGCTGCATGTGGGACATTCAAGTTTCACAATAAGACAAAAACGTCAAATAAGAAGTATGAAAAATGGGATACAAGTGGAGCACAATAATCAAGTTGATCTAATGAGTATTCCGAGTTTTACTCAAGGAATTCTCAATAAAAAAAATTGTTTGTCCCCGTATGTAACGGGTAAGGGGAGGTAAGATAGTAGGTTGCCCTCAACACCAAGTTGAGAATAACTTCTGTAGAAGACCTCCGAATTATAAAATACCCTCCATGGGACTCAATCTCACGACCTCAAAGTTAAGAACATTGTACTCTACCAACTGAGCTGAATAGTCATCTCGAATTCTTAATAAAATAATGTTTATCAATTGTCTAAAGCCTTGAAGCTATATCAAATTTAGACTATCAAACAGTTCCATGCAATTACAAGAACTTATAAATCCTATTTTCATCACACAACACACACACATACAAACTAGAACCAATAACATACCGTCTTAGCTTCCTTGAACTCATCCACCGCCTTGTGAGATGCATAAGAGAATTTAACATCAGGTCCAAGTTTAGGAACGATGAAGAGGCTGAAACAATACATTGAACACAACACAACACGATAAAGGCATTAGTATCAGAAAACTCGGCAAGAACAACAAAACTGACAAAGTACCACAAAGAATGGAAACTTACTAATTGGTGTCGAACCAATTGGTCATTTCCATGGCAGGTACAGAGGCATTTCCTTTAGCCATAGAGATGTAAGTGTCAAATCCGATCTCAAAACCACTCCAGCCATATCTAGGGGGACAGCTCCAAGCATCGATGTAGTTGATGAGTGTTCTAAATCGTTAATATTTTCTCGTTAATTCTTCGATCTTATGGATTTATTGCTGCTGATTTGATTGTGTTATGCTTATTTTCGTGCAGGGTCTTACTCTCCATAATTAGTAGTAAAACGGGTGCATTTTGCTTTTTATTTATTATTTGGTCACGGTTGGAGACATGGGCACGACTCTGGGCATGACATGGTTTGACGTGGTAGTTTCTAGAAGGTCCAGTCAGCGCTTCTAGAAGAACAAATAGATCAGCCGCACGTTTCTACAATTCAGATTTGAATTAAACTTATGTTTTATGATATTATTTTAATTTTATCTTTAGGAATTTTAGTTTAAATAGTTTTAAGTATTTTAATTAGGATTTAGGATATTATTTTTATTATATTTTATCTTATATTTGTTTTAGAAATTTTAGTTTAAATAGTTTTAAGTGTTTTAATTAGGATTTAAGATATTATTTTATGAATTATCTTTAGGTTGTTTTTAAGAATTTGAAGGCTATAAATACCCTCTCAGGGTAAGCCTAGAAACATATCTCTCTCATCTGAGAATAAAATCTTCTTTTTATCTCTAATTTTCTCTTTATATTTCGCATACTTCCTTTATTTCCCTTTAAATTTTTTTTTTCAAAAATGCTAAGTATGACTTGGTCATGCTTAGCTAATTTTCTTTTAAAGCGAAGGCTTAATTTCAAACGTGAGAATTGTATGGCACTTAAATCGCTTCGGATTTTTCTCTTTGTTTTCTGGGCTTTTTTTCAAAATAAAACGATTTTCAACATTGGTCTGGAAATTGTTATGGTTAACGTTGGAAGAAGGATTGGCTTATTGAAGCACATTCAACTTCTTGAGAACACACTTAGCAAAATTGTTTGCTAAAAGGAAACGGAGATCAGAATCAGTTATTGTTGAAACAGCATAATCCGAGTCGGCAGCGAGGAATTATTCTTGTAGTAACTGACGTGAATCTTGAAGTAAAAACCAGTTTCGATGATCCGATGAATTTGAGGCAAAACTGAAGTCTGAGGCTATTTTTACCCTAAGTTTTCTTTATCCCAATTTATTTATTTTATTTGTTTATTTAATCTTTATCTTTTATTTCTTTAAATAATTAAAAAAAACCCTTTTTATATTTATTACTATTACTATTTATTATTTTATTATTTTTCTTTTTTTAAATTATAATTATTTATTTTATTATATCTTTTCATCTTCATCTGGAACTCTATTTTCTTTTAAATCAAGAAAGAGTTTTACTAAATCAAAAATACCATAGTCCCTGTGGATCGACCAAGCTTCTCTATACTACCTTTTCATTTCTATTTATTAAGAAGCCAGAATTATTTTGATAACAAAACGACGGTTATCAAATTGGCACCGTTGCCGGGGACTAACAGCAAGTACTGATTTATTTTTCTAGTTTTTGATTTATGACCAGAAGAAACCTAGGTGAATTAATAGATCTAGATCCAGAGATTGAAGCCCGAGCACAAAGAATCCATGCACAAACGCTTCGAGAAAAGAGAAAAAGACAAGAAGAACAAGAGAAGAGTTCAGAAGCAGAATCAAATCCGGAGACAAACTCTGAATTAGACGCATACAACATCCCGATGGTAGAAGAATAACAAACAATCCGAGAGCTGGTCACATCTATAGTCACTTAGATGTCATTATGCATCAATTTTCCTAGTGGCGGGACTCTATAACAACAAACACTTGTTGGAATTCCACATGGTTTGCACTAACATGAAGACACAGGGAGTTACCGATGATCAAATTAAATTGAGAGCTTTCTCTTTCTCTTTAGCTAATTTGGATAAAGATTGGTTATTTTATTTACCTCCAAATTCAATTAATTCATGGGTTGACATGAGCCGAAGTTTTCTTAGTAGGTTATTTCCAGCGGCTAAAGCAAGCATGTTACGAATAAGCATTCTTTCCATTCAACAAAAGAGCGAAGAAAGTCTTTATAACTATTGGGAACGATTTAAAAAGTTTTGTGCATGTTGTTCACAACATGGATTAAGTGAGAAAACATTAATTCAATACTTTTATGAAGGCCTTTTACCAATGGACATGAAAATGGTAGATACCGCCAGTGGAGGAGCATTAGTCAACCTGACCCTAACAAAATCAATGGAATTGATTTCAACCATGGTAACCAACTTTCAACTGTTTTAAAGTGAACCCAGCCGACAGGTTCATGAGATAAATACATTTTATCTTGAAAACAAGTTAGACAAATTAACTGAAGTAGTTAATTCACTTGTTGCAGGAAAATTTGGAGCAAAAAGAGCATGTATAATATGTACAAAGCTAGACCATCTGACGGGCTATTGCCCGCTAATACAAGAAGGAGGCAATGCAGAAATCAATGCCGTAGGGAACTTTCCAGGTCCTTCAAAAAGATAATATAATCCATACAACGATACTTATAGTCCAGGATGGCGAGACCACCCAAAATTCAGCTATGCGGCAAATTAAATATCAGCTTATCAACCAAGACCTCCTTCTCAACAGCAAATGCAATAACCATCATTGGAAGAAATCATAGGAAAGTTAGCAATTTCACAAGAAAAGCTGTCTACATCCCAAGAACAGTTCATTGCATCTCAGAAAAAATTCCAAAGTCGAACCGACACACATCTTCAAGAGTTGGATAACCAAGTATGTCAACTAGCTCAAATAATGAGGAAATTGGAATCATAAGAAAGACTACATTCTCAAACAGAGTTAAATCCAAGAGTGAATGTTAGTGCCATCATACTTCCTATCAAGGTTGATGAAGCGTGATAAAAGAGCTGAAGAAAGGGAGATCTTGGAGGTGTTCCAAAAAGTTCAAGTCAACATACCTCTTATTGAAGTAATTCGACAAGTACCAAGGTATGCTCAATTTTTAAAAGAACTTTGCACTACAAAGAGAAAATTAATGGGGCACAAAAAGGTAAATTTGGGAGAACATGTCTTTACAATTTTTTAACGAAAGCTCCCACCAAAGATGAAAGATCAAGGTATGTTCGCTATACCTTGTAAAATAGGTAATTTTAAAATTCAACGTGCAATGTGTGACTTAGGGGCTTCAATCAACGTTATGTCATTTACTGTTTATAAAATGATTACTAACGAGCCTTTGAAGAAAACAAAAATAAGCATACAATTGACTGATCGATTTGTGATATATCCAATGGGAATGATGGAAAATGTCTTAGTAAAGGTCGATGTATTATTTTTCCTGTAGATTTCTATGTCATTGACATGGAACATGATAGGTCGGATTATTATTCTAAGGTACTCTTAGGCCGACCCTTCCTAAGCACTGCACATACAAAGATCGATGTTAGAAGTGGTATACTGACAATGGAATTTGATGGTGAGATCGTTGAATTTAATGTTTACAAAGTAATGAAATACCCTAATCATGTTGAAAGAATTAATTATGTTGATGTTATATATCCTTTAATTGATGAATATATTGAATCTAATTTCTCTTACAATCTTTTCAAGGATCCTGAACTTTGTTACGAAGAAGAAGAAAGGGAGTTTGAAAATATTAATTCAATCAATTCTGATTTATCATTATCTTCCTCTAAAACTAAAATTTTACCTTATGTTTTACCGACACCTGAGGTAGAATTGAAGTAATTATCGAAACATTTGAAATATGCCTTTTTGGGCGAAAACGAAACCTTACCAGTCATCATCTCAAGTAAATTATCCGAAGGAGAAGAGGAAGCTTTGGTAGCAGTGTTGCGTTCTCACAAAGAATCCATAGGATGAAATATTGCCGAAATTAAAGGATTGAGTCCCTCGACTCGCATGCACAAGATTAAAGTCGAAGAATGAGCAAAGCCATCATGAGAAGGACAACGCTGATTAAACCCACCGATTATGGAATTAGTAAAGAAAGAAATTCAGAAACTCCTTGATGCTGAATTAATTTATCCTATATCGGATAGTAATTGGGTATGTCCGATTCATGTGGTTCCCAAGAAAACGAGAGTCACAGTGGTCGAAAATCAAGAAGGAGAGTTAGTGCCAACAAGAGTTCAAAATGGATGGTGAGTTTGTATTGATTACAAGAAGTTGAAATCTCTTACTTGAAAAGATCATTTTCCTCTTCCTTTTATAGACCAAATGATTGAAAGATTAGCTGGGAAAACTCATTATTGTTGCCTTGATGGTCTTTCAGTTTTTTCCAAATCCTAGTAGCACCAGAGGATCAAGAAAAAATGAATTTTACTTGTCCCTTTGGTACATTTGCCTATATACGAATGCCCTTTGGTATTTGTAAAGTGTCTGCCACCTTCCAAAGATACATGTTAAGTATATTTTCTGACTATGTAGAGAAGGCATCGAAGTCTTTATGGATGACTTCACGGTTTATGGTAATTCTTTTAATGAATGCTTGATAATTTAACTAATGTGCTTAAAAAGATGCTTAGAATATAACCATGTTTTAAACTATGAAAAAATACCATTTTATGGTTGATAAAGGGTTAATTTTTTGTCATATTGTTTCCTCAAAAGGGATTACGGTTGATAAAGCAAAAACAGATATTATACGCTCACTTCCTTACCCCACATCTGTGAGGAAAATTCGTTCTTTTCTTGGCCATGCAAGATTTTACAGCAGGTTTATTAAAGACTTTTCAAAGATAACACAACCTTTATGCAATCTTCTTCAAAAGGATCAAGACTTTGACTTTAATTCAAAATGCAAAGAGTCTTTCGATTCATTAAAGGAAAAGCTTATTTCAACTCCAATTGTTCAGCCGCCAGATTGAAATTTGCCCTTTAAACTTATGTGTGCCATATCGGAAACTAGCATCGAAGCCTTTCTCAGCCAAAAAATAGGGAATGAACCACATGTCATAGCCTATGCATGTCAAACTTTGGACTCGGC